TTAGTAAAGGAGAAATCTATTCACAATGAAGCGTTTAACAGTGTTGTAGTAGCAAATGAATCTCATGTTAAAACTTTTAAAAAGGATAGCTCTTAGTAGAATTTTGTTATTGTTACTGCTAAAGGCCTCTGTGTGGTCACTGTTGGTAAAATGCATCATCATGGCTTGATTTCCATTGGTTCCTTAGGTGTCAGTTAATGTCTGATGCAACACATGGGAATGCATGTGTGCACACAACAAAAGAAAAAGCAGTGCTTCGCTTGTGGAATAAAGAAGCAAATCATTAGAGATTATTTGATCCATTTATGTGAGCTGTAGAGAAGGCATACTCTGCTGACAAATAGAGGACAGTTAATCTACAACTCCTAAATTCCTGTCCTGGCTTGCTGTGATCTTGGGTAACTCTTAGGCTGACATTATCAAAATAATTTAATTGTAGAGTGCATTGAATGAGAATTGAGCAATCATATCTCTTCTTAGATGTAGAATGAGCATAATAGGCAATTTTACCAAAACAGATACTGAAATCTTGTGGAGAAGAAATCCTTGTTAATAAAAATGTGTATTAGTAATGATAATATTGTCACTGAGCTTTCATTTAAAGATGCACATTGATTGAAGTTGGTCTCTGGAAGTCACATTTTGTTTGAGGAGCATTTCAATAGTTTTTATCACCTGCGAATTACTGCACTTGAATGTATGGGAAGGCTTGTCAGAATGAACAGATCAGCATAGCCGATATAACTATTCCTGTTGTTTCTAAAGTGTTTGTAATACAGCTAGGATTGCAGCCAAGTGCTTAAAGAGTCCTCTGTTGAGGGAAGTTAAGTGACGGTATACTGTAGGTGAGTACCTGAGGTGTGTGCAGTACTGGAAGTCTGTAGCTGTGCAGATGCATATGTGTATATGTGTGTATGCTTTGCCAGCATTAAGGAAAAATGGAATTCTACCTATGAGAACTAGTTCTTGTCCTAGGACCTGAGCCTCCTTGCTCTGGCTTCTACACCTTCCCCTCTTCCCTCCATCGTTTAACAGCTTGTGTAGTCTTCTAGTTTAACATAAGTTCAAGCTCTTATGCAGTATTTGAACAGCTTTTGCTGTAGTTAGAGCTCTCTTTGATCTACGTTCCCCTCTGTGGCCTCAAAACACACCAATGTTGCTACTTGTTACAGCAATATTCACCCTGAAGTACCATGAAATACCATGAACAGAAGGGATGGACTTAGGCTGTGTGACTGTGTTACATAAACTCTTGTTTTTATTTCAAAATTGCACCTAAAATGGCTTTAAGGGGCTGGTCAATCTGTGTTTAGCAAATGCATTTGCAAATACCGAAGATTAAATCTTTCATTTATGGAAAAAGAGAAATGATCCTGCATTCTGACAAAGATACGGTAACAGTATAGTGTCATGAACTCCTTATCTTGCCTTACACAGGCAACAAAATAACCAGCTTATTCTGTGACTGGTGTGCCTAAAGAAATCTGCGTAGTTTTGCCTTTATCTTTACTTCTCCTGGCCCTGCAGTTCTCACGAGGAGAGACACTGTGTTATAACTGGTTGGTAATTCTGCATGCTGCTGGCTGCTTCTCCCTGCGTCTCGGTGAAGATATTCTCTGGAACTGCCTTCTTGGTGCAGGCACTAATGTTTAACTGGATCTGTAGAATCTGTAGGGCCTTAATTGTTGTAGAGACTATCTTGAAGTTGGACCACCTGGTCAAAAGATAAAGGAGAGAGGAAGTAAATGCACTGTGATCATACAAGCTGTTTCCATAGGAAGAAAACCTGACCAAAATAATTAAGTCTTAGTGATAACATTGTGCAAGAGGCTTTGTTTAGCTGGTACTTGAAATGCATTTGTAGGTGCCACTTCAAAGGAGAGAAGCAGTCATTGGGGAAGTGCCTCTGTCCCTCTGGATAAGGATGAAATTGTCTGTAGAAGGGTAGTATTTTTTGCTTATCTACTGGGTCTAGTGTAGCTGCTTTTTTTTAAAAAGAGCTTTGAGAAGCCTGTTAGGGTTTCCAGGTGTTTCCTTCTTCAAAATCACTCCTTGTGATTTGCAATTTGCTTTTGTTTTTCTTTTCCTTTTCCACTACAGGTTTTTTTTTTTTTCTTCTCCATTTATTTTTTTTTTCCTCTCTACATTTTCTGTGGTTTACCTAACTCTTGCTGCTTCTCTCTTCTTCACTCAGCAAACCTTGCTAGGATAGTTGTGTGTTGGCTTGGCTACACTTCATGTGTCATTGCAGCACTGGTTGCTAATTGTGACAGTTCAGCAAAACAAAAAGAGCTAATGCCAGTGAGTGCTGTTCCAGAGTGGATAGAAATGCTGTTTCTGCCACTACATATAGTAGAGGCTTCCACAAGAAAGGGAAATGTGATAGCTTTCATTTCAGTTGCAGACTACGCATATACAAAAGCATGGAGCTTTGATCAGCCACTTGCTACTTTTTTTTTTTTTTTTTTTTAAGGAAGGCTTCATTCACAAGATTGTAGAATTTTCCTTCTGTTGAAAGACCATCTTTCAATTTGAGAAGGCACCCGAAGTAGTTTCCTTGTGATTAAGTGTTTTGTAACCCATCACTCCAGTTTCAACAAAGCCTGCAAGTGTAAGACTTTGTTTTCAGAAATGTAATGTGAAACTTTGACAAGGTACTATTCAGCATGGCTAACAGCTGTGTAAATCTGAAAGAAGAGTGATTTGAGGGAGAGAATGAAAAATATTTATGCTGACAGTGTTTTCTGCACCAATTAAGTGCTCAGGAAGAAGTTGACATGGTATTTATTTAAAAAAAAAAAAAAAAAGATGATTTGTGACTTGTCATGTAACGGAGCCTGAAATCTCTGTAACAGTTAATGTATTATTACAGCTTCTAAAGTTTCTATGTTTCCATCTGGATAAATATCTGCTGTTTAATCTTTCCCTGTTTTTATATAAGTGGATTTCAGTCTTCTGACCCCTGCATGGCCATTTAAGATAGTATTGGGAAGGCTTTCTCCTCAAGTTGTCTTCCGAAGGCAGAGAAGTCTATCTTCTGACTAAAAAAGTTGTCAGTATGTATTACTATAACCTGTCACTGTGCTTAACTAGGACTATTACATTTACATTTTTCAAACGCTGATAAGCCCTCTTAAGGGAAGAATGTCAATATAAGGTGAAGTACTACTTCTAGGAAGTTCTAACACTAAATGCTCAGTTTCCAGCTTAAAAGCTTTGTATGTCTGAAACCACCTCTCAGATTTGACCAGTCATCATAACACTTTTCTTCAAAATCTTTCAAATCTTACTTTATAAACTATAGGTCCTCTTTTTTGCTGCCAAGAAAAACAAACTAAATTTTGTAGCTGGAATAGGGCAGTGTTGCAGAATAATCTGGAAAAGAGATTGTTCTTGCTCTGGTTTTGTCATCCTTTTCCCTTTCCATTGATCGCATGAAGTGAACTGGGTAGTGATAGCCAGCTGCAGTATGTGTGCAAGGACTTGGAATCTTCCTCATCCTTTAAGTCACTGTGTGAGTTTGGTGCTAGCAGAGCTGGAGAAGAATGGCAAGGTAGTAGGAGAAAATTTTGCTGTGTTCGTTTATTTGGGGATTAACCAAGCTTGCATGTCCTCAGAAAGCTGACGTATTGATCATACTGTTGAGAATGTAGCAGCAGTTATGTTACTGAATATGTCAGATGGCCCCTGTCATGTTTTTGGGATGCTAGAGGGTGGTAAGTGCCCATATGTGGCTCTTTGCTAAAAAGAATCATTTTGGTATCCAGATCCTGCACAGTTGATTGCAAGACACGCTTTTTGTAAAGTATAGTTTAAGTTGTACGTGATATAATGCAGTAAGCAGCTAGTAGGCAATCCTGAAAAGAGCATACAACTTAGAAAATAATCATCCATCTGGGAGTCTGAATTTTTTTTTCACTCAGCAGGATTGATAGAACTTGGGCAAATGTTTCTGAAGAAGTCAGCCCTTTGTGTATGAATTGTATCATTCTGTCAGTCTACAGCATAGAACTGCTGTTGTCCTATGATATCATTGAGATGGTAATGCATATAACATGAGTTGTCATACATATCAATGCAGCATTTGGAAGTATCTGAGTTGATGCTGCAGGAGATGCTTGGTTTCTCAAGCTCAGCCTACCTTTGTGCTTATGTGTTACGTAGGCACGAATTCTGTAATAAGGTTGTCGCATACCCAAACCAGAAGAAGGAAGAGGTGGCTTCTGTTCCAAGTTCTATAACAACCTACTTTTTGTCACTGGCTAGAGTTGGCAGGCTAGTACCACTTTCTTCAGAGACCTCATTTTCAATACTGTGGGGATTTCATGTAACTAAAAGCCCTTGTGTTAAACTGAAAACTTGAAGAAAAAGATTGTATATTGGAGCTAGTACTACTCGTTGCCATATTAAAGAAGTCTGGATCCTGTAGGGTAAACGTGAATACTGTTTTAACATAATACAAAATCTTCCTGGGGTTCTCCACTGGAATGTTGTATTGTGTCCCTCCCTCCCCCTAATAATATAGGTTTCAATTTTATTAGCATTAGTTCTAATTCAAATTATTTCTTTTAAATTACATCTATTAGGATTTTGTTAGCATTAGGTTATCAATACATGAATGGCAGTTATTCTGCCCTCTGCATGTTTAACTTTCTCAGAGTGGAATCTTACATATTTTCTGTTCCTTGGCTCCAGTGACTAGGTAGCAGTTATGGGTACTCAGTGGGTCCACCTGGTTCTGCTTTAGCAGTCTTGAAAGGATTGAAAATGAAAAAAAAAGTTTAAAGATTTGCTGTTCCTAAACTGTAGATTGTAAACAGGCAGGAATGATTTACTTGCAAAATTCGTGTTGGGTTGTGCACAGATATGTCGTACTCTGTCTGTGCAGTTTTGTAATGGTGCTGCCATAGAACTATGGTTGCAAATTATTTACCCATATGTTTTGCTTGCATATTTAAAACATTATTTTGTGTTGAATACAGGGTTTTTTTTTGTTTCAGTGTGCAAGGATCCACCCTACAAAGTTGAAGAATCTGGGTATGCTGGTTTCATTTTACCAATTGAGGTTTACTTCAAAAACAAGGTATGGAATCACATGCTTTTCATTTAAAAAAAAAAAAAATTAAAAATGTGGAAGTTATGTTTATTTGAAGATTTACGGTTTAATTCATGAACTCAGTTAAAAATTAGGTTTAAAGCTCTTTGTCACTGCTGTTGCTCACTTCAAGGTCTCTGCAGTTTTTAGAAATGCATAATTGTATTTAGTACATAACTATGAAATTAGGATTACCTAGTAAAGAAGTTGAATGTAATTACTTAGAATTACTAGCCTTACTTAGAAGTGGACAGAATTTAAATAACGCTTAAGGAGGCCACTTCAGCTTTTAAGAAAGTAAACTGATCTTGATTAAGTTTATTTCATAAGGAACTCATTGTTCTATTTTAGTATTGCCGATCTTTTTAATTTGTTCAGTTTTTGCTCTTTCAAAACAGTCTTTTTTTTAATCCTGCATCCTCAGTCTGAAAAAACATTCTTTTAGACTGCATGTGAACATTGATTCTACTCAACCTTACCAGAGGGCACAGTTTAAAAACAAACCCGGTGCCATTCTACAAAGCTTGTGTTATTTGTGAGGTCTCAAATTCAGAGTCTTAAGTAAATGCTGCACTTATTGTGGGTCTCTTAGATAGCAAATACAGAGATTTCCTTTAACATACATAACAGGGTTTGTATTACTAATAAGTTGTTCAGATAAAAAGAATTGGATTTCAGTGGAATTAAAGAGCAAAAAGCTGGCAAGATTTAATGTACAGTACCTTAATAGCTGCAATGTTTTAGGTTACTTTTGTATGTCATGTGCCTTGGTGGAGCTGCTGTTACACTTTGCATGCACTTCTAAGGTACCTGTGTGTTTCTTTTTTGTTACTGAGATGTAGTTTAACATAATTATTTAAATCAAGTCAGTGTTACGTCTTTAGCGGTTGAGTGTTTAGTGAAAAAGTAAAACCTAAAGAAATACAGAAATGCATGGTAAAAGACCTTTGCTGGAACCCTGGTCACTTAAAAATTTGTGTTACGAGTACAACTTTGTTAGCTGTGTATTCCTTCAAGTAGATATTCCGGTGTTCCTTTGTCTTTCACAGAAAGCTCTGTCAAGGTGTGAGGTGTGGATAAATCTGTACAGGCACTTTCTAAGTTGTAGGTTTTGAATGAGTAATTCTGAAATGTTCCCTGTATCAATCTGTGAAGAGCAGGGCTTAGTCTACTCTGCTTTTGGAAAAGGAAACAGAACTGCCTCAGTGAGTTAACTGGCTTTTTGGTGTGCTTTTTAGCTCTTTCTCCATTAGGGAAGCAGCTATGATCATTCAGGAAATCAAATGAAAAGCAGTCCATTCTCCTTAACTCCTCTGTTAAGAGCTCATCCCAAAACTGGGCAGACAAAGTCAGAAGATGGTGAGTCAGTCATTGAAGCATCTCTGCAGAAAGCTTCCTGCCCGACATTTCTTTTTTTGTTTTCCACTCAGACTTTTGGCTGCCTTTGCTGACTCTGGAGACCTGGAAGTCTCAGGATGTCTCCAGCAGGAGTTGTGGCTTAGACTGAGATCAAGAGGGCAGCAGTGATTACAACTCACCTCATCCACAAAGCAGCATGTGGAATTAGGAAGTTTGCAAACATCCCTCACCCCTATTTTGGTGTCATGGAATGCGACAAGCAGCAGTTGGACTGTGAGTCAGGTAGCTTTTCACACAGCTGCAGCATCGTGCACTTCCCTGGGGTCGATACAATACAAAGGAAAAGTGGCCCAAAAATTGAGCTGGCATTCCTGAGGCATATTACTGCTTTCTCCTGGCTCAGCTACCCTTCCTCCCCTAAGCCACTTCACAGGTATTCCAATACAGAAAAAGAGGAGATAGACAGAAGGAGGAAGAGGAGACAGACCATCATCACTTACTCAAGGTAGACAACTTTTCAATTTCTGGTTCAGAAGGTACCCTAACGATCAGAGAAGGCAGGGGTACAGGAAGCCACCTGGACTGTGGAGAATTAAAGGATGCCTGTTCCCAGGACTAAGGAGAAATTGGTAGAAAATCTAATATGCATTTCACCTTGATGGAAAGTACTCCAAGCTTTAAACAGTTTGGGAAATGACAAACAAACCCAGCTCCCAAATTCAACAGCAGCAGGCTATAGTGGTTAGCCATTCAAACAAAGTCGCCGGAAAAAACGCTTTTAGGTTAAAAGACTCCTACCCTGGAAAATGCAGTCCGTTTAGGATAAGGCTGATAATCTACAGTATATTCTGCCTTCACTGTCACATCATTTTGAAATAATGTCAGTGGTACTCGGAGTCCTTCATTGTGTGGTAGAAGTCAGCTTTGAAATCACTGGTTATGTTCATCTAACCACAGAATTCTTTGAAGATTCCCATTTATAAATTCTTATAACTTTGCTTTTATGGCAAAGCTGCTGGTACCAGCTGTTTGCCTGTAGCAACATCACAGTTTTCTAAGCAGCCCAGGGAGTAAATCACCTCCATTTTTTTCTGCAAGAAATCATCTGTTAATCTTTCTAACAATAAGAAATGTCTTCATCCACAGTTGCCTTTGAAAATGGTCTGTCCAGAAAATAGTTCATCTAAGGGAACTACTCTCTTCTGTCTTCAGAAACAGACTACTGCAGGCCTTTTATTTAGGGTCCACTTCTGTTGTCTCTGCTCAAAGACCTAGAGATGGGATGATGACGATATCACTTGGCTGTGTTTGAAACCTCTGCTTTAACTTTTAGAATAACTGAGATTTCTGTGCTTTCTGTTATTCACATCCCTGGAATCCTGAATCAAAACTAAACATTTTTTAATGTGAATTTTTTAAACATCTGTCACTGAACAGAGTACGCGTTTTGATTACAGGCAGGGTTGGATATATTAAGATTTTGCTATATCTCTTCCTTTTCTTTCCACATGGTTCCCTTTTTACTAAAGCTTTTCCTGAATCTGACCTTTTACTTGTGTTCTGCTTTAAGACTGACATTGATTTGATGGCTTCTGTTGCACATCAGGACCTTTGGAGAACGGCCTACTTAATAGTGCCTTAAAAGTGCATTTAACTTACATACAGCTTCTAGGAGGGGCTGTCTAAATGAATAACACAAAATGTACTTCTTATCTTTTCTCTGGTATTACAAACTGAAGTCTGCTCAATGCCACTAGTGTCCTTTTTCAGCTGAGGCTTTCTCAGAGCGGTGGAGCACTGACCGTTTCTTCCAAGATACATTTGCCTCTCCTTTCTCTCTCCATATTGGTACAGGGAACATTCAGTTTCACTTTTTCACTGCAGTGTCAGAGAACTTTAATTGATGGAACACTTGAAATCTATCTGGCCACACTTGTTCAAGGCAATAAAGTTTCATTAATAAATGAGCAGACCCCATACAGAGGAGATCAAATACAGTTGGCTGCAGCAGTTTCATTCTTACCCCTTTCTGCAGCTCGTGAAGAAAACAATATTGTTTGGCTTCGGTGGAGGAATTTGCATTCAAAACTTACTGCAGTGGCTGCAGTGGCTTCAGTACTATCTAGGGCTCAGAAGTGTGATTGTGTTGGTGACTGGGTTACCTCATGTTAGCTGAATCATGATGCTTGCCTATGTGTGTGCCTGTGGCCAATGCCAAACATGACATAACACTTTCAATTAAGCCTCGTCAGGACAGCTTGAAGTTCATGAAGTTCTTGCATTTTGCCATGTATTATCATGGGCTGATAGGAACTTCTCTGATTCACTGTAGCTCAGCTGACACTTGGTAAATTCCATTGTGTGTCTGAGAACACAGAGAATGGTTAAAACTGACATGATTTTAATTTTAATTGACAGTCTTTATGTAGCCCTTGTTTTCAACTTAGTTTTGGTGCTAGATGTTTCTATCTGGTTATTTTCAACCCTCAGGAAGAACCTAAGAAAGTTCGATTTGACTATGACTTATTCCTGCACCTTGAAGGCCACCCACCTGTAAATCACCTCCGCTGTGAAAAGCTCACATTCAACAACCCGACAGAGGAATTCAGAAGAAAGCTGCTAAAGGCAGGAGGGGTGAGTCCTGCACCCGTGTCAAAAGCCATCACAATGAAGATGTTGCTGCTTATTGCTGGTGCATGATCAGTATAATAAAGATGGACCTGATAGTGAAATGAAGTGAACTGCTTTTGTGATTAGCTTCATATAAGAGCTCAGTGCTTGTTGTCTTTAAGTAGAATGGGTGAGCAAATGAGCATGTGCCTACCTTAAATACATGATTAGATATCTGTCTTCCCAACCAAGTGATTCATGTTTTCTTCTGCAAAAGCAGAACTTCGAGCTTATTCATGAAACATTGCTTGCTTGACTTTCCAGAGATGAAATACAGGACTACTGTGATGGGAGGAAGTAATAAGAAAATAAAATTTCTCTTATTTAAAGGTAAATGGTTCTATATTAAGCAGAATAAATTCAGTAGTTAGAAGGCAGAACAAGTTAGAAAATGAAAGTGTAAATAAACCTGCTTAAATTTATATAATGTGTGTTACACAATCTAAACCAGAAGATTTACCAAGACTTCTTTACATGTTGGTAGAATTAATTGATATGAAAAAGCCCAAAGGAAGTTTGCCCTTTTCAAGGGAGGAGAGAGACAAACATTTAGGTTTACAATTTGTCTATTAGTGAAAATGGTTCTGCTGCGTTTCACACAATGGCAGAATCATTCATGCTGGCAGGGGTCACGGAAGGCTCAGCCATGGGGTATGACAGGGCTGTGCAGAACTTCACTCCTCCTTTCCAGGATGCGAAATCTCACCTAACTGAAGGTGGCCCAACCTCCCTGCAACCTGGCTCCACTGCTGGGCTGTCTTCATGGGGTAAAGGCTTCTCCTGGTCTCCAGCCTGAGCCTCTCGTTTGTCAGTGGGTGCTGCTGTCTCTTGCCTTCCTGCCACACACCACTGCAAAGAACCTGACCAGTCTTCTCCATTCCCTTCCATCGGTGCCAGTCGTGCTGTTGGGTGCCCCTGAGGCCATCCCTCCTCCCAGCTGAACCAGCCCTGGTCCTGCAGCCTTTCCTCACTGGGTAGGGGCTCCAGCCGCACTGTCTCAGTGGCCTCCTCTCACCTCATACCATTTTGTTGGTGATGTTTGTGTGTTGAGGAGCCAACCTGGAGGCAGTACCCAGATAGAGTCTGACAAGCACCAAGCAGAGGGTACAGTCCCTGCTGTCCCCTGGCTCTCAGGGCTGTGACCTGCTCAGCAGACTAGGCACTGCTGGCCCTTGTTGCTGCTGAGGCATATGGGTGGCCCTTTCTCAGCTCACTGCCCTCCAGTGCCTAGGGCCGACCCACCAGAGCTGTTTCCCAGCCCTAGCCTCACGGCTGCAAATCTCTGCCTTGCTGGAACAGGGCTTGGCATTTGGCATTTGTCCTGATTGTATTTCATGAGGCTGCTGTTAAGCCATTCCTGCAGCCTGGGTCGCTCCTGGTGGCAGCCCTGCTTTTGGGTGTCAGCTGCTTCCCTTCCTCAGTTGATTGTCATCTGCAAACCTCATGAACAAGTGTGTTTTATGTCCTCCTCCAGGTCACTGATAGAGATATTAACCAAGCCTTCATATTGTGGGTTTACTAATGTAAATGCCAGTGCTTATCTTTATACTTTTGAACAGTTGTAACAAAAATGGGTAGGCCTATTTGGCACAATTAGACAACAGTAGGTTCTGGGCTGGAGGTAAGAGGGAGCTAGTGTGAGAATTTTCAGTCTGCTTAAGAGGATCTTTGAAAACAAAGCAAAAATTAGTGGGTGTAGTCTGAAAGACCTTGTTATCCTCCTGGAGAAGAGAACTGTTACAACTACAGTTGTATTGACATAGAAGCATGAGCTGTGTTTTGTGTTTGCATTTATTAGGTGCAAGAGGGTATCCATGTCTGGACAATGTATTGGCTCTTTAGTGTGTTTGCAAATAAAACATCAAGATTGTATTCTGGAAAACTTCATGAGCTACTGCTTTAATATTAATCGTATCAGGTCAGTTGTCAATGGACAAGTTTCACCTGCAAGTGTAATAAATCAAAATAATGCCAGCAGGGACTTTGTGGGGTGGTGGGCATGATTATAAAGGTAAAAATAGGAAGCATCCCTGTTACTGCTCATTTTCTGTGCCTTCTAATCTTAGGTTTCTTGAGTTAACAAAAGCAAAAATGTTGCCGAACTGTAAACAATGAAATGTGGGGTGTTTGAGTCAAATTCTTTCCCCGAACATATTGGTGTGGTCATTCTTAAAATGCTTTGCATGATTGCCTTTTGTCTTCTGGAGGCTACAAGCTGCTTGCCTTTCTCTCCCCCCCCCCCCCCCCCCCCCCCCTATTTTCCCAATTTCCTTCCAAGAAATGGGTTCCTTTTTTTGAAAGTATCACTGTTTCATGCTTTCCTCTATAGGCTTTCTGACCTAGGATTTTGTCTGATCGACTTGGCAGAGATGATGTAATAGCATTCTGTCTGTCTTGATACTAAAAATCTCTGTGAAGGGATTACATCTCCCAGCATTGAAAGACCTGTTACATGTTTATGAAATGCTGTACACAGGCTTTTCTTTGACTATTGTAGAAGCCCTGGAAAGCTGGCTCTTGCTTCCAAATGTACGTAGAATAGACAACTGAATGAATTAATGAAACATTAACTCACTTGTAACTTCCATGATTTAGGCTTAGAAGAGCATTTACAGGATAATGAAGTATGAGATGTGTTTTGCACTTACTTGTGAGTAAAACCAATTAATACTTCTAGTTTATGGCTGTCTTCAATAAAAAGTGAAAGGAGCAAGTCACTCAATCTCCTTGGCAGGCAACAAGTCAGGCAAAATTAATTTCATGTCCTTCAAAATTAATGAGATAACATATTAATATAAAACACTGAGTGGCAGCTTTAAGAAAAGCACTCTAAGATGGCGGGCTTTTGCTTACATGCTTTTAAATAGTGGTGTAAGTTGCTTGATTTCTGTGCACCTTGAAACTCAGGTGTGTCATTAGTTTTTCTCCAGGCAAAAGTCAGGGGATGTGTCATTCCGCGGATGAAAACTAGTAAACATGATTCTTTATTTCTCATTTGCATCATCATATATCTATTACAAATAATATGTCCTTCTGAAGGGAAAAATGCAGGCTCACCTGGCACCTGCATGCTGCCATATTCAGTATGGATTTGTGGATGTGTTTGTCTCTTGCTGCAGATTCCTTCAGTTATCGCTTCGATGGTCCTAATTCCCCTTTTCCCTCAGACATACATCTTGTGGCATTCCAAATGTGAACTGGTCGCGGATACTTGCTACAGACAATGTTCTTTTGTGTTTCAGGCTAAGAATCTTTTTTTGTTTGTTTGTTTTAAAATGAGGTGCTAGCAGCCTGCCAGCGCATTCTCATTGTTCTGCTTCACTATTTGCATGCCATCCTTCATGTGCCCAAAGGTTATCCTGCAGTTCACTGGGAGAGAATAAGAGTAATCCCGAGTAATTAAACAACTGAGAACACAACTGTCACAGCTACAGTGGCTGCTGTGGCCACTTTTGTTAAGGCAAACAGGACATTTAGGTGCCAGTCATGTAGGTTAACTCTGTGGAGTATTTCTATCTTAGCATTTTATTTGACACCACCAGAATTGAAGCATAAACGTGCAGTGAGTCATCATTAGTAGGAGGTCACCAACTTGCTCATTTCTCCTTCAATATGAGAATTACTTTTTCAGCCCTTCCAAGAAGAAGGATTTGATTTGGCCTCAGAGATTGTATTTCTGTAGTCGGGAATAGAATCATAGAATGGTTTGGGTTGGAAGGGACCTTAAAGATCATCTAGTTCCACTCCGCGCCACGCCCTTTCCCTGCCACAGACAGGGACACCTTCTACTAGACCAGGTTGCTCAAAGCCCCATCCAACCTAGCAGGAAGATAAATAGGAACCTTTGGTTCAGTCATACCAAGGCCATATGCAATTTGCAAAATTTCTATGTCAAAGTTTTCCACCTTCAGAAACATATTTTCTACACTTAACTTCCCCCCACCTGTTGACAAGATTTGGTTATGCTCAAGTCCATCTCTACCATTTACCCAATTTCAGTTGACCTTCTTATAAATGTAAAAATAAATGTTTACAGCAGAAATAATCTGTTTTCAAGAGTACACTAGGCAAATTCAGGCAAACTGTTCAGTGTAATTGTTCCATCTCTTTGCATATATAATCTAAATTTCCTGTGGAAATGAGAATTTTTTGCACCATTTACTCAGTATAGTACCTAATGATGTGAAGCTAATATGTATATAGACATGACTCGTGAATTGTAGCATATACCGTAATCCAACCTGTTGCTTGAAAACCCCAAAGACACCCTGTATACAAATGATGAATTTAGGGAATGGATTTCTCACCAAGCAAGTTGTCAGGCTGCTGCTAGTGACAGAACTATGCGCATGTAGTCTAGAGGACTCATTGGCTAGACACAGCAGAAAATTATGCATGCATAGGTACAGTAGGATTGAAGTTTTCGTGAAGTAAATACCAGTAAGCATTGATCCTTACGTGGTTATTCCTTCCTAGATTTGTCAGTTACCTTTTCTGATTAGTTTCAACCTCTAAACGTGAAAGAGCCTGAGAGAAAAGAGATGACACTGTGATTCCTGCGTATGGATATGGGAAGAGGGATGACACTGACTGGGAAATTGTAGTAATAAAAAAATAATCTTCAAATTTTGCGTAGATTTTGAATGTTGAATCACACTAAAACCGCTTATAAACAGGTCTGACTCTACTGATATATTTTGTGTTGTCTGTAGTGCTGGTTCTATTGCTTTTTTGGCTTGCATGCTTTTCAATTTCAAGAAAAGATTGAAATTTACACTTAATCTGCTTATTGAGCCAGTAGACATAAATTAATTTTGAAGATGCTGAATGACAACTACCTATCAGTTAGGTTGAATTTTGTTTCTGGAAACATAGACTTGCTCAGGCATCACTTGTTTCAATATGGTATTATGAGTAACTTAATTTTTATTCTTGCAGGAAAAAGTTGTAAAAATATTTTCAGT